TGTCGGACAGGTGGGACCGTAATGAGCACGGCGCGTAACCAAGGAACAGTTTTACAGAAAGACCCCTCCGTTGGTGCTCTCCACTCTCCAGGGGACCTAGCTGCTGATTTCCTCGCCGTCGCCTTTCCTCCGGCCATGGCGAGCGGTGGCAAGCCTGCTGCCCCTCAGCCACCTCCCGCCGCGCCTTCCTCCTCCGACCGCGAGCTGGAGTCAGTCCACTTCTCCTCGGGAAACCCTCGCATCGAGGAGACCCGCGGCGTCGTCGTCCTCCACCCCGACCCACCCGCCTCCTCCTGGTCTCATCTCCCGGTCCTGATTGGGATTTCCGTGGATAGGGTCTAGTGACATGAACCTGACCTCCACGGTTGGCTCGCCCGTGTGTATTTGTAGGTGGGGAGGAAGCCGCGGGTGTGCGTGCTCGCCGTGCCCAACCACATGACCTACGCCCGTGTGTCATTAGCCGCTAGTAGTGTGGTACCATGGTGGTATACTGGTATACTTGTGTCACAGAGATTCGTATCATCGTTTGTGTCACAGAGATTCCACGGCAGGAATTGCAAAGTTTTGAATACTCTGGGTGAAGCAGTGATATCAGGAAGTGCAAATTAACAAGTCATGGTTTCAGATCCTTATCCTTATAACTAACGTTAATGGTATAACAAGTCATGTTTGACTGTGACACCTGCCTAAAGTTTCTCCGCTGAGAGTGACGCTGAGGAAAATGAAAGGTGCTAGTACAGTTGTGAAGCGTTTCCCCCCTGCGTTAACGTGGGCTGACTTGCCCGTTAGTCTTTTGTTGCTGGGTTTAGCTTATACCATGGGGAAGGGGAACGAATGATTGATTGATACCTTATCTTCTTCTGACGGATAGATGTGCCTTGATGTTTTGATGTTGTCAAGTGTTTCAAACTTTGATTACACATTACTCTACTTTTTATATGTTGATTTTGAGTTTTCACAAGTGTTACGGATAGAGTTGTCTTGAAAAATACTTTGATAAAAGGTATACATTTGATATATTTTCTAAATGTATACTGTGATTAAAAATAGCTGTCAAACTTTGAAATGGTTGGCTTTAGACAACCCTAAAACATTGCTTATTTGTCATTAAAGGGAGGACCAATACGATTTATGAATCCTGTGCTTTTCTGACCTGTCCCTTTTTCCCTCTAATAATACTGTTAATAAGGATAATTTGAGTTGCCTAACTGAGTTTGGCGCCCTAAGATCCGGTTCTTGTTGCCTCCGTGCACAAATTCCCCCAGTTGAAATTTGCAAAATTTTGAGCAAGTTTTGTTTGGCCTCGATTAACGTATACCATAGGATTGGCCAAAACATTGCACGACGACGTAGTACACAAGACAGGAGACACTATCCTCTATCCAAACTTGAGTGACCATCCAATGGGCGCCGTATTGTTAAGGTGGCCAATTTTTTACATCAAGAAAAAATAAATCATTTAAGCTGCGCTGGCCACGCTGGCATCCGCGCCGCCACCTCCCCCTGCCTGTCCGGTCCCGGCAGCATGCCCGGAATGGCCAGGAACATTTCCAGCCCATCACAAAGCATGGAATGATTTCAGGTCCGGAACAGTTCCAGGTCATTCCGGGCTGGAAACGAACGGGCCCATAACCAGCTCGCCTCCTGCTCTAAACCTTCGTCGACTCGTCGTGTCGTGCGTGCCCACCTTAACCAGCAGCAAGCAAGCTAATAGTAATAGTCAGGCAGTCAGCTAAGAACCCAAGGCTACTGCTACTGCTAGTCATCAGTCATCGTCAGACCGTGCTTGCTGTTTGTTTGGGACGGAGCCGATGGTAATGGAGGCGGCGGCGTCATTGTCGTCGTCGTTGTGTGTGCTGCGGCACAGGCTGCGCGCCACCGTGTGCTGCTTCGGCGGCGGCAGCGGGGGCCTGGCCGAGCGGATGCGGTGGCGCGGGCGCCGGGGACTTCCGGTACGACCCGCTCAGCTACGCGCTCAATTTCGACGAAGGCGACCACGGAGTCGACGGCGACGAGGACCGCGCCGGTGGCCGCGCTCGACGCCTTCCTGTTGTCCTCGCAGCTGGTCACGCGGTCACGCAGAGGCCGGGGCCCGCCGTCGTCGAGGCCGCGTAGCCGCAGCGTCTGGCCTGAACGGCGTGAGAGTTCGGTGATCGATGGCTGATGAGTGATGAGACTGAGAGTGTAGATTGCAGACTGCAGAGTGTGTATAAATGATGATGATGCGTTCATCCCCGTTTTGATTCTACTGCTTTTGGACTAGCCAGCAGAAGTCATGTTTTTTTCTAAGATCCGGCGGCTCCCGAGTTCATCCCCGTTTTGATTCGACTGCTTTTGTAAGAAGCTATTTTTAGGTTCTTTTTAGAGGATTTATGAAATTTAATTTCACCTGCCACGTTTACTGTGGCGTTACTGTTGCACTACGGCGTTGAAATATAAACCTGGTCTGGACGGCTTTGCCAGCTTTTTTTTTACCGAAAGAAGAATTATATTAGGTAATAGCTGGGTACATCAACATACTACAAGCACTCTAGAATACAATACATATATCCAGAAACTGATTTTTATTTCCGCCTTGTTATCACCGTCCGCAAAGAAAAGTCGCCATATCGTCGTGCCGGTGAAGTTGCTGACGTCGTAGTTAGTTGTCGCCCTCGTCTTCAACAGAGCTGTCATGGAGAAAACGATTCCATCCTACCCCTCGCCATCGTCGAAGAGAAGATAAATCACCAGTACCAAAAATATTTAGCATGGAGAGACTCTAACACTAAGGACTCAATTTACTAAAAAAAACTTATTAAAAATGATGGATCCCTACTCCCTTTGGCCTCCGGCGAGATGCCAAAGGGGAAGGGAGAGGGACCAACGGTGGTGGAAGACAGGAGCGGCGGTGACGGTGGCGCTTAGGGCGAGTGTGAGTCACGACTCATCACATCGGCTTTGCCAGCTTTGCTACAGTAGCGAAGCCGTAGCCGCATAAAACCTTGCCAAAAGGCCCGCACATGACCTGCTCCACGGTAAGAGCCGGTTGCCATGCAAAAAGAGAGACCTTCGATTTAGTTAGAGAAGTGGAGAGTAAAGTAGAAGAATTTGATCCCTACTGTGGAGAAGTGGATAAGTGGACGATACCATTCATATACCCTTTTAAGAAGAGTTTTTTTATTCATACCATTACAAGTTTACAAGTTTGAAAATACATCATTATAATTCATCTATTTGGAGAATTGTCATTATAATTTCATCTCTCCCTCTTCCATGCCATTTTTTATGTCTGTCATTTTCTACGTCTCGCGTATATGGACCTACCCACCTTCTGGCACCAATGCATAGAGGAAGACTTATGGGCGTTATGTCTCGGTCTCCTCGGGTAGAACAAGCCCGCCCGCGGCGGCCAGCGCACGATCGGAGCAGCGGCGCAAGCCCGATGAGCGCCCGCGGTAGCCTGCGCGCGAGCGGCGCGGCGGCGAGCCGTGAGGCGGAGAGCGCGACGAGCACCCACAGCGGCCTGCGCGCTAGCGGGGTGGCACCGAGCGCGTCGAGCACCCGCGGCGGCACGCACTCGTTGCCGCTCTTCCTCCTCGCCGTGGCCACAAGCTCGTCTCGCTCGTCGCTCTCGACTCCGACGACGATGCTTTCGACGAGGAGGAGGTGGCGGTGTAGGAGTGGGCCCTGAGCGGGAGCTCATCGACGAAGACAGCCCCTGTGCTGCCTCCCCGCACGCACGTGCACGCAACTCGCCGCACCGGCGAGCTCTGGCTGAGCGCCTAAGCCGCTGCGTGCCACGTGCCCTGCTGTTAGCTTGATGACGTCGTGCCTATGTCATATACTTTCTTTTTTCTTTTCCTCTTGAAAATAAAACCAAAAATACATGAATACCTTTACTCATCCTCGTCACCACGGCCAAGAAGACGAAAGCATGAAGCAGAGCACTTGCTAATGGAGAAGAAGCGGATGACGAGTGCTGTGACACGGTTGTTTGGCTCCGCAACGCGCCGAACCCTACCTCCGCCGCGAGTCTGCGACCACGTCTCTACAGCGTGTATACATGGAAACGAACGCGTCCTGCACGATGACCGACGCCCAGCCTCAGCGGTTCGCCTGCGACGGACCACGGCCGCAACACGCGCGTTGATTTTGGACTTGGCAGACAGCCGCGGCACCGGCCGGACGCCCAGAGACAGATGATGGCGATGGTGACGCCGGCTGGCACCGCGCGGCGGCCGCCACCGTGCACCCGCCTCGTCGGTCCCGGGATGTTCGCCGACGACCACGGGTCCACCGTGCACCTACACGACGGCCATGGCTACCTTGGCTCGTTCCGCTTCGGCGCCGACGACGTGGCGCAGTACTCCGCGCGGTATGTGGAGACGACGGCGAAGCGGGAGGAGCACGACGCGGGCGGCGCATCGTGGCGGTTCACGCACCGGGGCCCCTTCTCGGTGCTGCGCTGGGACAGGCGCGTGACCTACCTCTGGGAGGGCGGCGTGCCGTATGAGCTGGCGGCAGCGAGCCATACGAGGGCCTTTATATGTTGGAGGCGTAGAAAATGCCACGGACAGAGGAGAATTGCAATTATAATGGTAGAGGTTCAAATAGGTGAATTGTAGTGACGTTTTTCTAAATTCAGAGAATTGTAATGGCCTAGTAAAAAAACCTTTAAGAATGTGTCGGTTCCATCTCGTTTTAATATACCGGCCCAAGTGTTATTTTTTTTACTTTGCGAGTTTGTCTAACTAACAACTGGTTATTTTAGATCCTTTCGACGACTAAATTTTTGCCAATACACTTACATTGTTTTATAATTATATTTACATCGTCTTATTACTATATTTATAATGATTATTCAATGTAATTTATTGGACAAAGTGATGTAATTTAGATATAACACAATATATACCAAATTTTTTAGAAAAAAATTATAAATTATTTATATTGATTTCAGATATCAGAGGAATATATGCCATATTATTCATAAATTTCAGAAAAAAATACTTTTTTTTTCAAACATAGTTGGGGAGTCGCATACAGAGGGCGAGGTCTATGCGCGCCCGCTGGCACTGGTTGCGCTTGAGCGCGGTGCCAGCGCTGCAGCAGAGGGTGCGGACGGCGTCGGTCTCGTCCGGGCAGCATGCGGTCACGACGCACTCCGCCAGTGCGCGGTTCAGGTGCCGGCACAGCACCTCCGGCAGCAGCGGCCCGCGGGCGGCGCGGCGGCGGCACTGGGCGAGCGAGCGCTGCGTCGAGGCGCAGGGCCCCGGGACGGGCAAGGCCATCGATGCGTCTCGGTCGGACTCGTGGTCCCGTCGCCCTCCGCTGCCGCCGGTCATGGAGTCTGGTGGTGGTGGGAGATCGGCAGCCGGCGTGATCTCTTTCCCCGCCTGCGGTTGCGGCGGAGACGAAGTGGAGGAACAGGAGCCGGATCGGACGCCTAAGAAAGCGCGATGTAGCAGATCGGAGGGTGGAAAATTCGGTTGCCAACTTCCCCTGAGGGCCTGTTTGGATAGAAGGATTTTTTTTAAAGGAATATCAAAGGAAACGAAAACGCTGGAAAGGGAAACGAGTAGCGCGTTTGGACGGAAGGAAAACAATCTTTCCTTTCCACTGGAACACTACGCCTCCTTCACGATTTCATAGGAAAACAAAACTCTAGTCTTAAACACACGGATGGGGTGCATTACTATCAGAAAAGAGCCAGGTGACTAGTACTACTTTGTAGTTTGATTCTTTGTTGGTGCTAAGTACTGCTCCTCAGCTGTTTTTTTGCTGCGTTTCGATTTCCCGCATTCCAAACACTCTTTCACATCATATTCCTATGTTTTTCCTTTTCTCTATTTTGCTAGGATACCTATATCACTTTCCTGTATTTTTTCCCATTCCTCTGTTTTGTATTCCTTCATTCCAAACATATCCTAAACAACCGGTTGACCATTAACATTTGTCTTTTTTTAAGATGGATTTGTCCGGTATCTATAGAAATATTCTTGTATAGAAAGTGGTTTCGTTCCTTTTCATCCATTAATCAAACGAACCGAGCTGTTGAGTTCATTGTGGTGGAATAAATTCGTTTGGATTTATTTTAAAGTTCAATAATGTTTGTTCCACTAATGATAGACAATGCAACTATGTTTGGTTCATAGACATGAAAGAATAATTTAGACTAATTCTCCTTTTTTTATGATGAGATGAACCAATGTCTTTGTTTGGTTGAGAGAGCCCCGTTCGGCTTACCAAGAAGTCGGCTTGTTCGGCTTCTTTTTTCAGCCGGAACAGTATTTTTCTCTCACAACAATTCAGCCAGAACAGTGTTTTTCAGCCAGTTTCGGCCAAAATTCAGCGAGCCAAACGGGACCTATGAGGATGCCATGTTCTGTTTTTAGTTTGAAGGACGAAACGGGGCATCATGGATGCAAATTTTTGGTCTGTTCAGCACTGTTATGTGGGCCTCAACTGTCAGCTTCTTCTTGTTCTTCCCCGCTCACCCGCCCGCGCTGTCTGGCCAGCTCCCGCCTGTCCACGCCATGACCACCGTCATCCACGTCAGGCCGCTGCTCAGCCACGCCTCCATGTCACACGGGGTCGCCTAGCTGTGTGCCATGGCCACCGACTATCTCATCCATGATGTCTAGATGACGCCTGCCAAGCCGCGCACCATGGCCATTGGCGCCCCATCTGCGGCGTCCGTCCGACGCCTGCCAAGCTACCCGAGTACGAGGTGAGTGAGAGGAAATGGAAGACGCATGGCCATGACCAAGGATGAGCTTGGCCGCCTCTTTTGGAGGGACGGGGACGTGCGGCATATACAGAGAATATTCCCAGGTAGGATGATTCCACTCTTTCGTCTTCCAACCAAACATCGTAAAAATGGAAACTATATCATCCGTCCCATCTTATCCTTCGAACCAAATCGTACTATCTAAACATGTCTTTTCATGAAAGTCTCTATCTATATTTTAATTGGTAAGAACCAAATACATGAGAAAATGGAATAGAATACTAGTCCATCCCCTCTAAATAATGGAAAAAGTCTACTTAACCCTTCACCTTTTATACATGATCTACTTCACCCGAAACCGTCTGTTTTACCCCCTGAACTTTCCAAAACCGTCTATTTTACCCCCTGGGTGGTTTTTGACAGCGGTATTGCTACAGTATCGGTGGTTTGAATTTTGTTTTTTAATTTATTTTCGGTGATGAAAAATCTAATTTTATTGGACTCCACATGAGTAGATCTACACAGTGAATATATAATACGGTATGCTTTAGTACAAATTTTTTACTGTAGTCTTAGATTAATTGAAAAATCTAATTTTGTCTGTAATTAATTGGAATAATTCATAGCTGTAGCTTCTATGGTTCAATTGTGGTAAAATTTTTATGGTAAGCTAATTATTGTATGCTTGAACTATAGTAAAAATTTCGTACTCATTGAACTATGTATAACTTAGTTATAGATAAATTCTAATTAATTACAGAAAAATTGGATTTTTCAATTAATCTAAAGCTACAAAAAAAAATTATACTAAAGCATACCGTATTATATATTCACTGTGTAGATCTACTCATGTGGAGTCTAATAAAATTAGATTTTTCATTTTATGATTTTTCTATGATTTACTATGATTTTTCAAAAATTCACCGAAAATAAATAAAAAAATTCAAACCCACAGACACTGTAGCAAACCCACTGTTACTGTAGCAAACTCGCTGTTACTGTACCAAAACCGCTGTCAAAAAACGCCCGTGGGGTAAAATAGACGGCTTTAGAAAGTTCAGGAGTAAAACAGACGGTTTCATAGTTTGGGGGTGAAGTAGACCATGTATGAAAGATGGGGGTTAAATAGACTTTTTCCTCTAAATAATTATTAGACGGTGGTAGATCTTAACAAACAAGGTTTTATCATTTTTTTGTTATTTTCTTATCAAAATCAATAAAATTATAAATAAATTATTTAATGATCAATTTAGCAAAGCTCTCAAATTAATGTTAGACTGAATTTTTTTAAAAAGCTATGTCAAAGTTTTTATCTTTTTTTTAATTATGCTAAGGCATAGTGGGCCACGCCTATGGATGAAAACGGTACGGATATTTATTCGACTGTCCGTTCGAACGAATAAATATGAACACTTATCTGGATAGTTATTCGGGTATCCGTAATTTTTTTCGGATACGGATACTAAAACGGATATCTTAGGCGGATATCAAATACGAATGTAATATCATCGATATCCGGCGGATATCGGATAATCCGGATAAGTATCGGATATATCCGGATATTTAAAAACGGATATTATCCGGATATTATTCAAACGACCTTGGATGGAGAAATGATCAAAATAAAAATTGTAGATCTCAAAAAGTTATGAAACTTTGTTGTTTACAACTTTTTCGTTTGAAATCATTTAGTGCTTCAAAATTTAAACCGTCCAAACTTTCTCAAATTGAAAAGTAGTTTATAGGCGTCAAAATTTAAAAATCACAAATTTGAACCATCCAAACTATCTCAAATGGAAAGTTGACCAAAACAACAATTGTAGATCTTGATGAGTTGAACAAACTTGGTATTCAAAACTTTTCAATTTGAAGTCATTTAGAGTTCATAATACTAGAGTCAAAGTGTTGTTTTTTTATTTGACCAAATTTGACTTGGTCAAACTTGCTCAAATGAGACACTAAATGACCTCAGATGAAAAAACTCTGAATACAAAGTTTGATCATCTCAGCAAGATCTACAATTGTTACATAGCTCATTTTCTCATTTGAGAAAGTTTTATCAAACACTAGTCACAAATTCTTGAATCTCATATAGACTTTCTGAAACTATGTCACACACTTATGAAATTTAAACTATATTTTGTTTAAACTTTCTCAAATGAAAAAATAGCCTATATAAGGATTGTAGATCTTGATGAGATGAACAAATTTGGTATTCAAAACTTTTCAATTTGAGACAATCTAGGGTTCTGAAAATTAGTTTGTAAACGTCGAAATTTAAAAATCATAAATTTGAACCGTCCAAACTATCTCAAATAGAAAGTTGACCAAAACAGCAATTGTAGATTTTGATGAGTTGAACAAACTTGGTATTCAAAACTTTTCAATTTGAAGTCATTTAGAGTTCATAATACTAGAGTCAAAGTGTTGTTTTTTCATTTGACCAAATTTGACTTGGTCAAATTTGCTCAAATGAGACACTAAATAACTTCAGATGAAAAAATTCTGAATACCAAATTTGATCATCTCAGCAAGATATATAATTGTTACATAGCTCATTTTCCCATTTGAGAAAGTTTTATCAAACACTAGTCATAAATTCTTGAATCTCATATAGACTTTCTGAAACTATGTCACACACTTGTGAAATTTGAACTACATTTTGTTCAAACTTTCTCAAATGAAAAAATAGCCTATATAAGGATTGTAGATCTTGATGAACTGAACAAACTTGGTATTCAAAACTTTTCAATTTGAGACAATCTACGGTTCCGAAAACTAGTTTGTAAGCATCGAAATTTAAAAATCACAAATTTGAACCGTCCAAACTATCTCAAATGGAAAGTTGACCAAAACAAGAATTGTAGATCTTGATGAGTTGAACAAACTTGGTATTCAAAACTTTTCAATTTGAAGTCATTTAGAGTTTATAATACTAGAGTCAAAGTGTTGTTTTTTCATTTGACCAAATTTGACTTGGTCAAACTTGCTCAAATGAGACACTAAATGACCTCAGATGAAAAAACTCTGAATACCAAGTTTGATCATCTCAGCAAGATCTACAATTGTTATATAGCTTATTTTCTCATTTGAGAAATTTTTATCAAACACTAGTCACAAATTCTTAAATCTCATACAGACTTTCTAAAACTATGTCACACACTTGTAAATTTTGAACTACATTTTGTTCAAACTTTCTCAAATGAAAAAATAGCCTATATAAGGATTGTAGATCTTGAATCCATGACCATGACTCCATGAGACCCATGAAGCAATGAGCTTGGCTATTTCTACTCATGCCACGAAGATTGGTGCTTCTATAATGTTTGATGTATAATGTATCTGTATCTTTATCTTATTTGTTGCTTTACTCTTTAGTCTTTCGGCTTAATCTAGATGGATTATGGACTCATAGAGTGGTGTAATGGTTTGCGCATGTATGATATATATATATATATATATATATATATATATATATATATATATATATATATATATATATATATGCTGCTTTTACTCAATATCCGAATAGATATTTGTATCCGACCTTCTTCGAATCCGATTCATACCGTATTCGATACTCATTATTCGTATCCGTAACCAAGTCAATCCGTATTCGTATATATATCCGAACGCTATCCGTGTCCGAATCTAAATCCGAACAGAAATATGAAAACAAATATAATATGAGTGATATCTGTTCGTATCCGATCCGTTTTCATCCCTAGCCACGCCCACGCCGTCCCGCTGCCGCTGGCGCTGGGTCGGTCGCTTCCTTCCATCGAAGACAAAAATCCGCGGTCCACCCTGCCCTACCTGCATCCTCTTTGTTCCCGCCTTCTGCGAAACCCCTCCCAAAACCCCCGAAAATGGCGGCCTCTCGCGCCCCGCCTGCCTCCGTCGCCGCCGCGACGGACGGGGGCATCGAGGAAAACGCGATGGCAATCCTCGATTCCTCAGGCATCAAGGACTCCCGCGACCTCCACGACGACCGTAACCGCTCCCCTATCCTTTTCCTCTTCGGTTGATTAATCAATTAGGTTTCTTCCTTCCGTCGTTGTGTACCAATCGAATCCCGCCGCCGCTAAGTCCTTGATGTAACTCTGCAGGAGCCGCCTTCTTGGAGGCCGTGCGCTCCGCCTGCCTCGCCGCCGACAACCCATCGGCCCCATTGTGGTACGGACTTCACCCACCTAGGCTGAGTATAGATTGGTGCCCTCTGCGTCTCTGCTCTGCCCTCCTATTTAGCTGCGTCATTCGGCGCAAAATATAGCTATATATTCCCTCTGTCCCAATATATTTTTATATCCCAAAATAAGGACTTGAGAAGCCTCGAACCCACAAGTTAATTAACGAGGACCATTCAGGAGTTGGCTGGTGAGAATACTTATACTTTAGTTGTTCCTCTTCCACATTTTTTTGTTACTGTGATGAGAGCTTGAGAACGCTTCTGCTGTAACTGGTTTCTTAAAGTAGAGGTCAACTTTCGTTGCAGATGATCTTGTGTTCAGCATGCGCTCCCTATTCCCGGAGCGGAGGAATTCCTTGTGTGTCATTAAAAAAAGATCGCAATGCCCTATGAGCCACTGAAAAAGTTCAGCGGTCTTCAGCGCCACTGCTTTAACTTTTTTGTACCCTCCATGCCACTGCCGTCAGTTTGGGCTCTAACGCCGTCAAACTGCAGGTGTGAAAAGTCAAAAATACCCTTAAGTATAAATATGTTATTAGTTTTTTTAGCATCTTAACGACTTCAAATGAAAAAACTCAAAACTAGAAAGTTGTAGATCTCGTCGAGATCTATAATTTTCATATAAAAATTTTCTTCATTTAATTCCGCATGAGTGGGGTCTGGGGAAGGGATAAACCGAGACAAGCCTTTCCCCCGTAAAATCTACGGAGAGGCTGCTTCGAACCCACGACTTGGTGACTCAGTGAGACAGCTCTTACCACTGCACCAGGCCTGCCCTTCATATAATGGCCCCGTTCGGCTTACCTTATATCCGGCTTGTTCGACTTTTTTTTTCAGCCGGAACGGTGTTCTCATCTTGTAAATAATAATTCATCTTTTCAAACTCTGTTTTAGTAGCGATGAAATATCCATTGTGATTATTTGGATCCTTTTTTGGGCCAAAATGTATTCCTTATTTCGTCAGCTATGGGTATACTTGTAATGTACCTTTTGAGTTTTTCATTTAGGTTGTTCTTTTCCCTTGTGACCCCTGTTCTCTTTAGGACTTTTTGATATATATTTTTTAAAAGTTTGTAGACCCTTTTGACTTATGTGGTAAGCGTTAGTTCTAGTTGATACTATTAAGTAGGGATTAAGAAGTATCGTTGCCATTTGGGCTGTGACCTTACTCTAATTACTTCCCACGTTTGTTTAGACTTTAGGCAATAGTTGCTGTAAGTACATTAGACCAATGTACTTGACTTTGTCAAATTTTCTTTGCCGTTGAAATATTGAAAATATCTGACTCTGTTTTGCCCTTCCCAAGTGATTCTCGTTGCTGATTGAGGCTATTGTGGAACCAACAAATGCCACGGATGATGATAATGGAATTAAGGTAACACCATGATGTTTTTAGCTTCTCACAGATGTTTGCAAGCTGTTTCTTGATTAATATTATATTTTTATTGTTTCCTAAAGTATCATAAATGGCACTCTTGTTCAACTGATCATTGAATACCAAATTGCTTGTTTTATTTATCTGAGTCATTTGACACAGTAATTTGGTTAATGACGACCCCCCCCCAACCCTGTTGCAGCCCCTTCTCCGCACACTTTATTGATTGATTGTGTTTTGCTCTTCACCTCCTTTGATTTCTGATCCTTAGGATTTGTTCTGGATTGTTCATAATCATGTGAGTATTTTTAGTTAGATTGGTCAGAAGAATAAATAGTAAAGGGATTCTATCACATGTCTGCATTAGTTTCCCTGTTTGGTTTTCTGCAATTAGTAATAAGTTACACCAACCTTTGCCTTTATAATGAGAAGCTTATATTTTTATTGTTTTGTTAATCAAAGTAAACTAATGTTTTCATCTATCTGACAGCTGGAATTAGGTTCTACTCACTAGATCTATCTGTTCGACTATTCATTTCATGGATGAGTCTAGAAAGTAATCTGTTTCATTACATTTCATGGATGAGCCTAAAAAGTAATATTTTTATCTTTTTGATGCGTCTACAAAGTAATCTGTTTTATCTCTTTCATTGCATTTTGCTGGTTTATCTGATTATTTGCCTTTGGACTTGAAATTTCAGTTAATTTCTGTTCTATGACCTAGGCTATCAAGAATATGATGCTGTTCCAGTATCTTGTCAACACACTTGAAGCAGATTTTGTGCCTCGCCATATTGCATACAAAGGTAAACTACTCAGAAACCTTGCTGTTTATCTCGTGGCTTTTATGTCTGCACAGTGAAAAAGATGTCTTATCAGTTTTCTGATTGTGTTACAGAGTCACTAGACTGGGTGATTTTCAGAGAGTCTCTCTTAAATATGCTTCTGGTATGATCTACATCAATCACAAAAAATGCACTATTTTCTTTGCTCTGTTTGCATGGATTTAAACTTACCCTTTTCATTTAAAGAGGTTTTATCTGGACATGTGGTTGTTGTTCGAGTTACATGGCATTAATGTGCCTTCTTGTGTAATTTTAATTTGTGACAGTGATGAACTTTTTGTCGACAACTATTAACAGGGATCACGAAAGCTCATGTTCAAATCTTTTGTGAAGAACTGCATGTTTATTCTACTCAACCAGTATTACCCTGAAGCTAAAGATGAAGTTGAAGACATCATACCTTCTGAAAGAAAAGCTAAATCAGCATCTGATCACGATTTCTCGCTAAACTATTCATCCTTTGAGTCAGAAAGGACACTCGTTTCTCTCAGGAAATTATTTGTGATGGTTAGTGTTCGGAATTTGGTGATACCCATACCTTGTTATAGTCTAGTACTCTAGTGCTAACCATCATTCTTATATAGGTTATGAAACTTGACTTGATCAGGAAAGAAGCAGACACATTAGGGCTAACTTCGAGAGCTGACGGGTTCAGGTGAGCCAATGCTTTTTGAGCTGAAGGTGCTGTTAATTGTTATAAGTATTGACATGCTATTTCCTTCTTTGTAGAAACCCTATCATGGAAATTATTTTGGATGAGCTAACCTACAACAGCAGTTATTTATCCCCATTTCTCTTGGTAATTGCAACCCATTGCCATCTCTTGACCACTGTTTTTCTTGTACAAATATCTTAATTCCTTTGTTCATGTAATCATGTTGTTTTTAGCCTACCCCAACTTGTTTGGGACTTAAAGGCTTTGTTGTTGTTGTTGTATGTAATCATGTTGTTTTTGTGTTGGAACTTCCATAAAAAGATTCACTGGTTATGCATCAATGGCTTCCTGTAAACCCCTATGCACAGTTTCAAGTTTACTGCTAGCTGTTTTTTTTTGCCAATGGGGAAGCATATGGCTTGATTGGTCAGTGTTAGTAGGGCTAGTTTGGAAAGTCCAAACCCCCCTGGGATCCCGGACTTTTCCCGGAGTTGGCAATCCATGGGTATTTCATTTTACTAAGTCACTTAGTTCTCCGTAGAGGGTTTTCCATCCCTAGGTTTACATCCCCCTTGCTTCCAAATTAGGCCTTAGTGAAATTAAAAATTTCAGACCAAAGAGTAGCTGTAGCCATCAGGTTAGCTTGAGTGTTTATTAACTCTATGTTCGAGAAAAAGTGTTTATTACCTTATACACAGAAGATCTTTGGTGTCGGCAATCTAGCTGCAAGCCTGCAACTCTTCTGCAGTGCGTTCTGAAGAAAAACAAATTTGAAGACGTAACTAGAAAGCAATGCTTTTAACTCCACAACTGTTTCGATTGCTCATTTTACTGTGATTCTTTAGAAGCTTGTTCTTGCACTTTTAATTGTAGACAAATAATTCCTTGAATAATTATAACAGGCCTTTGTGGAAGGGAAGTGGAAATTGGAGATTATTCTGCAGTACTTTTCAAAATATTGTGGCAAGGTATTCTAAATTTACTCTTCAATGACCTCACTTGTCCCAAAGATAGTATGTCTTTTAAAAAAATCTGGTTAAGATAAAAATGAGTTGATTATTGCAGCTTTTTCTGGCCTCTTTGTAGGCTTATTGGTATCAGCTGTCAGCCCGCCTCTGAACCAGTAGCTTTCATACTTATTGTTGATTCATTAGTAATTTGTGTTTATAGGCTTACATTTGTTACAACTTACAAATACATACATAAAATTAAGTTAGCATTTCCAGTATTATCATGTTGCTTCAAGATGTGCAATTGAGACTTGTCCTTATGCTTGGTAACTTCCATTCCAAATTTCCTTTGAGTGACCATGAAATCATGCATGCTGTTTCCTCCCTCCTTTTCTTCGCAGGGCCCAGACCGTACTCGAAGGAGGTCTGATAATTCACAAGAAGATTTGAAACTGGAAAGTGTTCTGAGTTTCTTTTTGACAGCCACAAGCGCAAATGCTATTGTCAAAAAGATGGGTGCAGAAATTGCTCAGCTTCTCTTAACACATGCTTACCAGGTTAGAAACCCCAAAGACTTCTGCTGTTCCTTAAAGGGCGTACCCAGTGCAGAAAGCTCCCGCTCTGTGCAGGGTCTGGGGAAGGGTGTCAGTGGCGAGCCTTACCCTTGCCTGTGCAATGCGAGGAGACCGCGACTTGAACCCGGGACCTTCCGGTCACAGGCGGTAAGACTCTACTGTTCCTTCTTCTTGATTTTTTTTAAATATGTCTTGAACTAGATTTTGATGCATGCCAAAGCAAAGTGACTGCAGAACTTAAAGCCACTGAGTATTACCTTGTAGACTATAAGAATCAAGAAATTATGTGCCAATGCACTTCCCTGGAAATAGTTTATTAGGTGAAACTTGGATATACAAAATATGAGAAGCATTTTTCTTTTGTGACCTGCAATTTACAGCTTGTGCAAATGGTAGTATGTCCTGTCACGGATGCTCATATGTACTCTTGTGATAGTGCTGGTGTGCACAGATAGTTTTTGCAGATTCATCTTAGCAGTCCAAGTTACCTGCCGTTGCACTTCCCTGGAAATAGTTTTTGCAGATTGCTCCAATGACCTAATTATTCTAGATAAATGATCGCCACCCTAAGTTACCTGCCAATCAAGTGGGATTTGTTATATCCCAAACTCATCCAGATGAACCATAATTGTGTGTCTTGCTGGCACTTCCTTTTACATAACATGTAATATGGGGAAAATTAAGTCTGTGACATGACAAACAAGCTGTTTTACAGAGATAAAGATAGCTTTGAACTTGCAGGATGATATTGTCATCTTTATTCTGTAAAATAATGTTTCCCCTTGAATGTATCTTAGCTTTTATATTTAAATAGCATGAACACCCTTTCCCCTAGCACCAGTGCGACCCCTCTACAACCAGCCCATTGCTGTGAACATCTCCTAGATTGTGAGCCACTTAACCACTGCCATGGTCCTGAATGCCTCTGCAGTGAACTTTCTGGTGACTTCCAAAATAACATGAGGGAAAAACCAGCATTTCAGCTACCCATATAAACAGTCTGCACTCTGCAATGATATTATTTAGCAAATCCTTTCCTTTGCTGGTACCATTTATATTTTCATTTTTAATGATGATACTGTGTTAACTCCAGCGATAATATGTATAGCACATCTTTTAACTTTTAATTCAAGAAAGCAATCTTAAGTATTATTGATAAACTTGGAGAACTTAAATCCCTGTGTTTGATGTTCCTAATTTGCTCCTTATGTTCTTTTGATACATTTCCAGCTATTACATATTTTCAGGTGTGCCTTTCTGTTCAAGATGTCACTAGCAATTCTACTGCTACCTCCGAAAAAATTGGAGCTACTCTCCAAGAGATATCTTCCAACTTCATATCGGCTTTTCAAAATATCAGAAAAGCTAGCCCGTGAGTATCTTAATTTTCTAATGTTATACAATGTAGCAACCATCATGTTTCTAAAGCTTTGAATCTGATTGTTGCTTACAACCAGGGAGTCTCCAAAAAATAATCTGAACTTTATGCCAATTTATCATTTATGTTGTCTACAGGAATATCCAGATGTCACTATTCGAGAAAGAAGCTCTGTTTACTGCTGCAACGTTGATTAGAAAATTGAAGAGCGAAGAAAGATAGAGCCGAGGCTTCCACTTTGGATATGATAGGTTCAGATGGTGTAGCTATGGGCACTGGTACCATCCTAAAAAATGTTCATATTTTGGGCTGTACGTCACTTGTCACAGTTACGGAATTAGAGTTCAGAGATAGGAGTTTAGAAATCTTTTGTTTGTTTAGAAAACTGTTGCATATCTTGGGAGTATCATACGTGAAGCTGAGTACCACCAGTTTCTTTGTTTACTTCAAATCAACGGTGTTCACGGTTGGTGAAGAACGAAGAATATGGTCTTGGTCTGTTAGAACCTGATTGTGGGTCATCTGATCAACCCAACCTATCCCGCCCAAAATAACCTGATTTAATTAGTCCATCGGATGCGCTTGGGTCATGATTTATTACTTACAACAACTATCGGGCTGATCGTGTGTTGTAATTTTGTACTCAGAATCTGACCCGATATAGGAAAACCGAAAACCTAAGAAATAGCCTAACTTGACATGACACGTTGAGTGGATGCTAGTAAAAATTATTGACCTTATCCTTCCTTATTGATAGTAGTAGAGATTTTGGCAAATAAATAAATATAAATTTCTTGAACAGCTTCTTTAATAAGATCTTTAAACATTATCATGTCTTATATTCTAGATTTCTCGCTAGCCAATAAAGAGTAATGTAGCCTCTAAAGTGCGCAAAGATACATAGAGCAATTTTTATTTAAATAACTCTTCAAAAGATAATTTGAAGAGTGAGAAGACTCTCGGTGATGGTCGCACATTGTGCTTGACTGTTTTGTTTGGCCCGACCGAACTTGATCCCACTCGACGCTTGAAAGTCTACTCCATTCGGCCTGGAAATTTGTGGTGCAATATAAGACTTTTATATGGGATTTGCTAAATTTTAGGTGTCTGAATTTTAACTTTCTTTCAGATGACGGTTATTGCATATATTTTATACTAAAATTACAGTTTTCATTCATTACAATTTCTATAGACACAATATGCAATTTTTTGTTCCAAGAATAAAAAACCTGTTAGACAAAACCACAAATTTGACAAAATCTGATATGTGTTGGTACAAAGATAATTTAATAATTTACAATTATTTATATAGTCAGTCAAGGATAAAAATTTGATATGTTATAACACAAACACAAGTAATAAATCACAAAAGTGACAATTTACCTATACTTATTGGTAGTATAAGAGCGTTGCCTGAAATCATTTTAAAATTCAGGCACCTGAAATATAGGAGAAGTGCATTTATATATATGGTGTCCATGCTCAAGTTTAACAAATTCTGTTAAAAAAGAAATCATGATTTAAGGAGAAACTCTTTAATTAGGTTTACACGTGTCATTTGAACATTCCTTTTAAGTTATCCTAATTTTTTTAGAAAGTGTTGTATTAGAGGATGGAGGGACTAGTTTAGATCCACCTTTAGATTGTGGAAGGTTAGCTTATGGGATGATCTTTCAATTTACTCAAGCTAGAAAATAACAACCTGTCATGCACTCGCTCCTTACCAACAAACACTCCCAAAAGAAAAGCCGAGTATGGTTTGGTGATGCATGTTCTAGTCCATATATCCAAAAATATGTTTATAGCATAAATATTTATTCTATAGGTGTATGAATAAATGTGCAAAAAATTAAGCAGGGAGGTGGGAGAGCTTTTATAGTATAAATACTTATTCTAGGTGTATGAATAAACGTGCAAAAAAAATTATGCTGGTAGAGCTGTTCATCTCGAGCTTTGCAAAACAGGACGACTAGCGCCCGGACGTCTCGACCGAGGCTCATCTCACGCCGTCAGACCCATTGCGTTGAGGGCGGCAATTTCAGCGGGCCGCACTCTTCAAAGCAATCACGCGCGGCACTCGCACAAAAAAAATAGCACCCCCTCCTGCGCATGGGTTTCACGTGCCTCAGCGGTGCGCTCCAAGCTCCGCCGTCACGGCTTGGTTCCATGGGACGTGCTTGGACTTTGCTTGATCCCTCCGCTTCTCACATGCATTGCAACATGTGCAACACCCGATCTACTTTTGAAACATCGAGATGCAACACTTGCAACATACGTCTAAAGACAAATGAAACATGCTTCTGAAACACTTGCAAAAACACATAAAAACACTTGAAAAGCATTGTAAATATGCGCAATATCCAGATAAAACACTTGTAGCATATGTGTGAAATTTATGCAACATCTAGATAAACACACGTGTAACAATACGTCCAAAAACACAGATAAAAACATTGGGAATAGACCTTTGCAACATTCGTGTACAACCATTGCAACATATGCAACATTTGATCTATTTTTGCAATATTCATCTGAAACAATTGCAACGTACCTCTGAAACATCCGAACGCTTTGAAACGACGCTTGCAACATGCGTTTTCAACACATCGCAACATCTCCTTGCTGCTTGCGAAATGGAGGCTCACCGACGTGTGGAGTTCACCGATTATACCACGTCGTCGCCACCATCGATCAGATGGACTACGCAATTACTACGAGGCATATGCAAATTTGGGACCCTTTCAAGGGCCGTTGGTATCTATATGGCATCGAAAGCATATAAATATCAAATGCATGCATTTCATAATTATAGTTTAGAAATACCACATGTCGACACCAAATTGATTTCTACCACGCCATTTAGCCCCTACCACTCAGGCTATTTTTCTTGCAATGAGTGGATCTGGTGGAAGGAGGTGTAACAACTCGGCTCAGGGCTTAATAGGATACTGAAATACTTCAACAAGTTGCATTTTCTTTTACCACTTGAAAGCCCATCTCTTAAGAACTCCGAAGTTATCTACAATTTGGACTTGCTTGGCCTAGAGCGATGGGTGACCAATGCCAGGAAGTTCTTCCATGTAGGGGCGCATGATTAGTGAGGACAAAGTCTTGCAAAAAAACTGATGTGTTGATATAAACAGAGAGCAAACCTATGTCCTAGGACGGGGCGTTACAATTGTAGGGAAATATTAAATCTAATATCGATTGAGTAAATTGAATGCGGCGTCCACCTTTTGGGAGGGGGGCTACCACCCACTTGCCACATGCATTTGCCATTATGATGCACCCCATGTTAATGCATCCTCACTTTGCAAAGTCTCTAAACTTAGTCCAGGACATCACTTCCTTTCTGTGCTTTGGGCCACGTCGAGAGAGAGGGAAGGAGAGGAAGGGCAGATAATGGCACCTTAAAGGGTGCAGAGATAAGCCAGGCGTCAACCAGTGTTGGGGTGTGAGGGCGGTGTCACTGGAGCGCCCCACACCTTGCACGGAGGCTGGCCTTGGCGTCGATGGTTTCTTTCCTTTTTTTCTTTCTTTTTTTGTGATGCGGGGGAGCGGCGTGAGTGGGTTGGTCCATCTGGACTGGACGCCCGGGTCTAATCATTGTCGTTTGCAAAAGAACTCCATAAATCATTTTTTTGACACAAACAGGAGAAATTCTCTCCAACAAAAAAAAACACTTGGAGCCTGTTTGGTTGTGACTTGTGAGCCAGGCAGCTCGGCTGGGCCAGGCATCAGAATTTCACAAGAATATATATATATATATATATATATATATATATATATATATATATATATATATATATACACACACTCTCTTCCTTCGCCGATGCCCAAAATAGCCCATGGGCTTCAAAGCCATCTCACCATGATTCATGGGCTCCGCGCCTTGCAACATTTACAGGGAACAAGCAACTAGCAACTCAGGAGGCAAGCAGGGCAGAAACAGAAAGTCAGAAACTCCGCACACAACATCACAGTAAAAGATATCCGGGCTGCATAGACTTAGCCACCATTACACTGGTTTCACAGGTGGTCTCCACACTTGGAATCCAGCACCCGTTCTTCTTGTCGGACAATCAGCAGCTAGTAAACTTCTTCAACAGGAACGACCACAACAATCCACCACGGTGGGAAATCAAGCCTCACACAGCGCTTCATCAACCATACGTCAGGCAACAATGCAAGAGTTTTCAAGGTTCATAGGAAGCTTAACACCACAGCACATGTCCTAGCCACTCAGGCTTCAGCTCTTCGGACAGGGCTCCCTTTGAATCACTGTCTTCCTATACCAATCCAACACATGTAATCAGCTGTCCCTCTTGGACAGCTCTGAACTCTGTAATCGGGTGATTGCTTCACCCTCATTGCGGCATCCTGCCGTTAATATATTTGCCTTTTTATAAAAAAACAAAAAAAAAAACAAAAACTGCGGTACCTCTGAAGTCGCAGAAAATCAAACATTTCCCTTCTTGTATACTGCTATGAAAGAAACAGCTGCACTGCCACTGAAGTTTATGAACTGCATTAACCAAATCCAGGGGGCACTTCAGGATCCTCCTCCTCATCCCCTGGATTGCTGATAGCAGCTGGCTCACCTCCATTTGGCTTCGCTTCATTACCATTTTCCAAATTCATCGGTGGCTTTGTTGCTCCTATATCATTATGCTGAGTATTGCTGAAACCAAATCCCGGTGGTTCCTCCGGATCATCATCTTCCGCCTCGAGTGCAACGGTAGTTGCTGTTTTTGTTGGCAAAACTTCTTCCTCTTTGCATTTCCGCTTCAGCTTCTTGGAAGAAGGCTCAGGGACCTTTTCAGGGTTCAGTATCCTATTGTAGACGGCTTTCACAGTTCCCTGTATATCAGTTTCATTTGAATGGATGACATTCCATACCTCATCTGAGATTTGACCCATTATTTTGCTCCTGATATGGAAGAACAGTGTAGCAACAAATAGAGTTAGTAATCAATATCTATTATGAGAATGTAAGAAGTGATACATTTGAAGGTTTTTACAAAGTAGTTCAAATTACCCAATATCTTGAAAATTTGCATCAGATAGGTCTTTCAATTTCATCCTCTCAGATCCATCTTCATGTAGAACCACTGACTGCTTTACCTCAGAGATGATTTTGTTCCGTAGTACCTCCTGAAAGAAAAAACAGCATGACATCAACTTATACTCCTATGCACCACTAATACCATATCTGATGAACAAAGGATATGTTACTACGCACTGTTTGCAATCTACATCTACTGAGCAAGATGCTGGCCATGTAAGCACAGCATACTGAAATAGATACTCTTAACACAAATTTCAATTTGCCCAAGAGACAAGTGATGCAACAGAATAAATTAAGCTGTGATCACAGGAAATCAAATAATGTGCAATAAACTTTGGTTGAAAGGACTATGCATAGATAACCAGATAACAAACCCTTCACGTCTCAATCAAAAAAGGAAAAGGAAGACAGACAGACTCACAGACAGCACATGCTTCTTATACAAAGGAAACTTCTTTTGCCGCAGCTTACATAAATAAAGTCACTATGAAGAAGAGGCCATTTTGATCATAAAACTGGAACATTTTGAAACGAAGTTAAGCAACTGGTAATCAGCATGGCTTATAAATAACAAATAAAAAAAATCTCAACTACAGCAAGAGAGATGTCTCACACTCTCCCTGGCTGGCTGACTGGCTTTGTTCTAAGGTAGGGGAGTTCGATACCCTGGCTGGCTAGGAAAATGCGAATTATTAATAACAGTGCAAAATGTCTTGCTGAAACCATTTGTATACGACAAAAGTATACAGACTAGTGTCTCACATTTGTCAACAGATGACTGGATAATAATAATTATGCAACATCACCAGAGCTTATACCAAATATTCATCACATGGCAATAGCTCAGAAAGATGACTCAAACAATTGGTGCTCTACAACTGGTGTTGCAGACTTGCAGTTTCAGATAATAATTATTGTGGTTACTGATTTTAGTTTTTATCTCTAGTCACCCATGTTGCAGCAGCTCAACAAGGTCAAACTAGAATGGTAAGACCGCCAGCTCATTGTGAAAAGCTCATAAAATTATTTATCCGTAACTCATCACAAGCTCTAATCCATTGTAACCATGTTTGGCATGTCGCTCAGCAGTCATTCTAGTGGTGGACAATTCAACTCTCCACTCCATTTATAGTCCTAATAAATGCTGCGTTGCAAGACTACTTCAAGTGTTGGAAGTTGCAGGCTGAGCGTTTCCAAAATCCAAATACAATAAAAAAGGAAAATACTGGTCTTATAGCGGCTTGGCACAAAGCATGCTTATCTTCCTTGCGCAGCAAATGTCCACACCCCTGAGGTATTGAAACACAACTAGGGAAAAAACATGTGTATGCATGTGAAGACCCTCCTCACACACCCTTCCGTTTCCTGATACAATCTACATCCAGATGTATACTATCATAGAAACTTTGGTGAACCTCTACACGTATTGGACAGAGAGAAACCTTTGGAGAACCTCTACACACATCTGATAGAGGGAAACTCTTGAAAGTTGAAACTTCCTCCTTCCAAATGCAGAATAGAATAACATAAATGCAAAAGGGTACAGACACTCTCTTATGTTGAAGCTTTTTTCCACCATCCTGCAGATTATAATTTTGAAACGTTTTGTAACAAGCATCGAATCAGACCCTTTAAGAACCTTAGGATTTCACTATACAAACACCAGAAGCCAGAACTCATTGCAGTTCACCCAAACAAGACACAACACAGATGGATCTATGTCTAACCTTTTTTTTTTGAACAAAAGATCTATGTCTAACTCAAGCCAGTACTTTCAATGACAACAAAGTTCTGCAGTTGTCCACTAAAGAGCCACCAAGGAAAGGGTCACGCCTCAACCAGGGTTCAATCTGAAGTGCTCCCTATACAGCATCGGGGTCTTAAGGCCTATAGCAGACCAAACAGACGAAATTCCAGAGAAACCCTACACTCTGGGTCACCTCTTGCAATCTTACAAACAATCAAGCACAATATTGAATCAAGTAACGGCAATGACCAATCCACCGAAGAATTCAGTGAAACGGAGTGGCATGTGGGCAGGATTAGGGACCAAGAGCGACGAAATCGGAAAACCTTTTGGTAAAGGATTTGGGGGATTGACGTTTGGGGGAAGCTTACGTTGTCCTTGACCTTCCGAACGATGGCACGGCGGAGAGCATCGAAGTCACCATCATCCTTGAGCCACTCCACCACCTCACTTGCCGTCGGCGGCCGCTGCAAGGTGCAGCCACCAGGATCACTCATGGGAACGAGATTGGGAAGTGCCGGATCGAAGCCTCAGTCCGGCTCGAAGCCTCAGTCCCTAGTTTTGCTGTAAATGGTGAGCAAGGGTAATAAGTAATATATGCTTGGCCATATATAAATATCTATAATCTAACTAAATTCAAATATCTACATTTAGAACTCAACATTGATTGATGGGTAGCCCTACTAGTGGGCTTGGATCCAGACCGAACCCACACCAATCCAGGACATGCATGCACTGTTTAATTAACCCACCCCTAACCATTCATTCAATCGCAGAAACCTAACCAACTCAAACTGTGACTTCCATTCACCCCATGACAAACCAAGCCAGGTGCTGGACCTGTGGGTTCAACCATTAAAATCCATTTCCCAACTCACAGTTTCGCTTCCGCTACTGATCAAACCAATCAAAATGCTTATCCGCTGTAAAACCCACCAGGCCACCACCGCAAGGGTGAATAGACACTCGCTGCAACCTCTATTTATCTACTATGAGAAGTTGGCAATCCACCACGGTGGGAGAGAGCCCGCACAGCGCTTCATCAACCATACTCAGGCAACAAGAAGTTGTCCAGGTTCAAGCCTTAACCCACAGCGCTTGTGCAATGCGAGGAGACCGCGACTCGAACCCGGGACCTTCCGGTCACAGGCGGTAAGACTCTACCGCTTGCACCAGGCCCGCCCTTCTACTATGAGAAGTTGAAAAATAAAAAAAAGGAACATACAAAACGATGATATACGTGATCGCCTAGAGGTAGCACCAATTGAAGAAAAGCTTGTCCAACATCGGTTGAGGTGGTTTGGCCATGTCCAAAGGAGACCTCCAGAGGCACCAGTGTATTGTGGAGTCCTAAGCCAAGCTAATAATACGAAGAGAGGTAGAGGAAGACCGTAATTGACATGGGGGGAGGTAATAAAAAGAGATTTGAAAGCTTGGATATACCTAGAGATCTATGTTTGAATATGAGTACTTGGAAAGCAGCTATTGAAGTGCCTGAACCGTGACTTGAGGCTCTTGGTGGGTTTCAACTCTAGCCTACCCCAACTTGCTTGGGACTGAAAGGCTATGTTGTTGTTGTTGACAGAATAGTTCTTTCCATGGAAAATAGATAATCTGGGAAAAATAAAAAAGTAAAAAATATCACATACTCCTGGAACTGACAGCTTGCAGATGTACTGATAAATTTCCACGAAAACTACTGACAACCTAAATTCACAGCATTGCTAACACTACTAAAGTTTTCAGTTTAAATATCAAATATCATTCGCAACTATGTAGCTCGCTTGCCTATTTAATAGTTTTGACCATAACTGTGGTGAACACAGGTTATCTACTCAAGAATTATAAGCATTAGAAAAAAGCTAACCGCTGGTAGGATTCGTGTTCTCAGTTACAAAAGAAAAAAAAACATATCAATCAATCAGGGTTCTATCATAAATGACCCATTTTGCACAAATTTCAGTCGGTCCACATTCTCAGATCTTGCTGACAAGAAATTCAGAGGAAGAGAAAATTGTACCTAGCGGTACGCGCCGCCCTGGGCACCCGTCGAATTGGAGACTGCGCGGCCTGAGGAGGGGCTTCAGTCTGGCAATCAAGAGTCAGGCTCACGGGTGCTTGCCCTTACGTCAGATGAGAGGGTTTGGTCGTCTGACCGCCTGGGAATCGCCAATCCGCGCAACTGCGGCTGGAACCCACCTTCTCCCCGCATTCTTCACGATTCTTGGAGGGCTTAGACGGAGGTGGGGAGGGAGAGCGGTAGCAGAGGGGGAATCATTGCGGCGGCAGGCGTGGGCTTATTATGGCTTGGTCGGGGTTCTCGGGAGGCCTCCGGTGGTGGTGGCGGTGGCAGCGACGGCATGGAGCGAGTCCAAGCCAATAGGTACCGGACCAAACCAAACTAAATCATTCAACAGGCCAGGCATTGGATGCAATTGATCAGATGGCTAGAAAATTCTCACTTGCACTTATTACTCCGTAATTTGGTGGAAACAAAAAAAAAAAGCGATCGCATAAATATCTCATCAAACATTCTAACTTGTCCACATGTTAAGGACTTAGGGCCCTTTGGGATACAGGAATTTCACAGTAATTATACAAGGACTTCACAAGAATCAATTTATTTTCATAGGGAAAACGCAGAAAACAGCAAAAATCCAATCCAAAAAGGCCTAATTAAGCTGAGGCAAAGAGTAATCGTGGCCTTATACTTCTATTTTTTTAAGGGGTTATGCATAAAAATTTGGCCTTGCTGGGATACCAGCACATACAGGTTTAAAGCTAAGTGAGAGACCAGCGATCCCTCTATAATATTGCTAAGTTTGTTACTGATGCATGTCTGAACCTCAGCAAGCACTGTCAGACGATCAGGCATATGCAGGCAGTATTATTAGACTGCAGATGCCGCATTCATATTCAGGTTACAGGCTCACAGAATACAGCTCGGGGGGGTATATATATACAATGAAACATGACAAAATCGAGGCGGTCAGGTCTTCATCAGAGAACTAAAATGAGACTGAATCTTATATTCGTATGTCTTCTCAGTTCTGTTCACACCTTAAATGTTCAGTGTCAAGGAAACGAGTGAAAGCTTAACGGGTAAAACGCTCTGTAATTGACTTGGGTATGAAGCTGGTTGTGCTCGATTGTTTCTCCAGTCTGTGTCAAGTAATGGACAGTGCTATTAGCATAAGAGAAATAGTGCAGACAATATATGGTGGGAGCGGTGAAGGCTGCGGGGAGAACCTTCCAATCTCTTCCACAGATTTCACTATTTATTCTGAACTCGTTTCGATCACCTGTCCCCCCAGTATCATCTCATCCAAAATCGTGTGCAGCTGCATCAGATATTGAAAGGAGTTAAAGAAGTATGGGATGTAATAAATACGTAGTACTAAAACACATCACTACTAAAGGAACATGAAGAAACGCAAGAAAATGGAGTGAATCATCAGGCATTTTGTCTTAAGACTGCATTTCTATACATCTCTGAAAACTTGAGATGCAGGGAACAAGGGAAAACTAGCACCATATGCATCTGCAGGTTCAGTGCTAAGGGCCCAAAGTTTGGCGTAATCTTTCCTTTTGTGTTAAGAATTAGCTACCACTATCTGCATACTAACAAAGTTCTATTGCCAAGGCAATAAAATATGCCCCAGTAGCCTGGTAATTCATTGCTTTTCAAGATCTAATCCACTGGAAGGTGGCAAACTAAGGCGGGCAGCAGCCATAAAGGGTAGGCAGCAAGAAGAATGATGCAGATTTCCTAGCTTTGAAGTTACTGTGTAATATATACATGATTCTATGTTTACTGTTTAGGTTGTTTCCGTCTATTGCCAGCTTAGATTTCGAAGAGCGAGGACTCTCTATTTCAGGATGTGCGCAGTGGAGAGCCAAAGCAGGCAATGGAAGAAAAATGCCTGCCTATGTATCTCAACTCTATCGCTCTGCTTAGCCAAGGCCTCTCCCCTATGGGTGCCCGGTGCCCTCCATCATTTAAGGCCACTTCCACCTGGCGCAATACTATGTAAGAAAATCATCTATTTGAAGCCTACCTGTATTACCTTAAAGTCAGAGCATGGTTGTGCACTTGTGTATTACAACCACAATAATTAATTAGATGGGTAGATGGGTAGATAATGAGCTATTCTGCATATCAGGGATTCTTGGGAGTCAGGCATTTGTTATACTGAGACTTTTGGATTTGCACTGCATATGACCTGTGCATCAAAAGGCTTAATTCGATACAGATAACCCAATTGCTCCAAAAAAAATGGTGATGCAGCATTAAAAAGCTTCTGCATTCCACCTTTTTGGCTACCCAACAACATGCAATGCAAGTGAAGAATGATAAATGGATATTTCAGCAGGAATGAAACCATGGATCCTTGGTAGGCACACTATCTAGTGTAAAAAGATTAAAAAAGTAGGATTACATGTTACCTTGTTGAAGTTAAATACAACGTCAAGCTCGCATACATTCTTGAAGCATCTGTCCAATGTTTCAACAAAAACTGTGCATGAGACAAAGTTTGTATAGAGTAATCAATCTCCTAGAGTAAGAGCTGATAAGAGTCTTTGTTAGAATAGGCGCCCTAATGGGCTGGCCTTGGGCCTGGCGCCTAGCCTGTTAGGCTGCCTGCCTTAGGGGTTAAGATAGATAGATTACATTGATAAGGTAAGGATCACCGTTGATTGGGTGTTTCTATAAACCCTATTGATCCTTGCCTATATATTGTACCATGTACTACTCGCTAATCTATCAATCAATTCCGAGACCTATTAAATCTCATCATGGTAACGAGTGAAAGCTTAGGTTTCGTAATGCGGGATGAAGCTGGAGTGCAAGCCGTTTGCTCCACTCCGATTGACACCAATCATAAGAGAAGGTTGCTGCAATGATGGGGCCCCGTGTGCGATGCTACAGACTTCCGCACCTTTTATTCTGGAGCTCTCGACTGTCCCCAGCGTTCACCCGCTTGAGACATTGCATATGCAGCTGCATTCAGATATTGAAAGCCTCCACATGCATGATCCTCGTGAGCCTCACCTTGCTGCCCTGAAGAGGATTCTTCGCTACGTTCGAGGCACTCTTCACCTTGGTCTCCTGAGCTGCGAACCGTCTACTTGACCGATCTTGTCGTGCTACACCAAAGCGACGCCGACCTTTTGTGGTTGAATTAGGACACTATCAAGTCCACCAAAGCTATGCGGTGTTCCTTGGCGACAACCTTTGCTTTTCTGGTCCTCGAAGCGCCAAAAGATGTCAAGATAAAGTGTTGAAGCCGAGTATCGCTAGCGGAAGTTAACGTGAGTTACAAAGGCTACTTGGCTGTTTCCACTACTACCAGGCGCATGCCCCTCACGACGACTCTCTATTTCACACTGTGTATTGTGACAAGCCAAAGTGCCGTCTACATGACCTCCAACCCGGTTCAAAGATCATTCTCGCGCACCAAGCACATCGAGATCGATCTTCACTTCGTCCGGGAGCTTCCACGCCGTTGGTGATCTTAAGAAAATCATCGCATGTTCCCACCTCTTCGCAATATGCATGATATCTTCACCAAAGGGCTGCCTACTCCAATTTTTCACGGAGTTTAGGTCGATCTAAACGTCTTGAGTCAGGCAGCGGCTATACTGACGACTTTGATTCACTGACCTGTGCATCAAAAGGCGTGTTAGAATAGATAAGCGCCCTAATGGGCTGGTTTTGGGCTTCTGGCGCCTTCCCTTTTGGCTACCCAACTGGCTGCCTTAGGGGTTAAGATAGATAGATTACATTGATAAGGCAAGGATCACCGTTGATTGGGTGTTTCTATAAACCCTATTGATCATTGCCTATATATTGTACCATGTACTGCTGCTAATCTATCAATCAATTCCCGAGACCTATTCGCTCTTAGTCTTTTTAGACAAAAGGAAGACAAAAATAAGTCTTCAGTGAAGTACAATGCATAGCTAGACAGAATTGATGGACAGAGAAGAATGTTGAGAACGTGCTACTGTACTACTGTAGTTACATCAAAATTCACAGGTACTTCATAACAGAAAAATAATGCATTAATACAGAATAAAAAGTTGAATGCAAGGGTGACTGAATACTGAAAGAAGCACAATAAATAGATAATGATTATGCAGTAAGACAGGCCAAAGAGATGAATGGCATGATAACACACTGAGTACAATTTGTTCCTTAGAAAAATGAGAATGATTTCCTCTTTCATCGATAAGCCATTAGATTACCTTGTACGAGATCGAGCATGGCAAGCTCATTCTCAGAGCTATCAAAGACAAAAACGAAGTATAGTGTGGCCAAATGCTTGTAGACCATTTTTGTTCCCTGCAAAGCACAAAGAAGAAAATCAAACCTTTGTAACCTTCGTCAACTCTCTGTGGATAATATGAGCAAATTAACCTAGATAGAGCAACTTAACCACTGGGCAGTTAGCACAGCTTACGTTACATACATATGCCTAAGATACCAATCTGCATATCTGAACCCAAGGAGACAAATAGCATCTGACCAATTTTCATTATTTTTTCATTCATTGCTGGCATTAGCATTGTCCGTTGTCCCTTTAGCACAAGCTTTACTAGTTACTACTGTATCAGCCATTACCGGGCCAAAGACGGAGTCCACCTTGACAAAATTGCTCACGCTGTCGGGCCTTGCAGAGAGTACTGCAACAAGAAACTCCACAGCTCAAGGGCAGCATCCATACAAATCGACGAAGAAATGAGGAACCGAACCGTGCATACACTGGAATACACTGTGGACGAGGTCCTGATGCTTCTCGGGTGCCTGCAGCCATGAAACGAGGAAGTAAATGAATTAAGGGCAAGAATGTCTGCTTCGCTAACGTAGTTCCTCGAGCAAGGAAGGATCCATGGATGAACCAGAGGTTGATCTGGGTGGGGAAATTGACCGAGCACTTGCTGGGTAATGAAGAAAGAGAGGGGACTAAGGTGAAGCCTGTATTGAACAGAGGAGAGGGTTTGGAACCTGGAAATTGTAGAACTTGAGGAGGCGGGGCTTCGCCTGGGTGCTGATCACCATCACCGCCTGGATCATGGCGGGCTACCAGTAGGAGGCGGCAGCGGTGGAGGGTGAAGCAAACTGTAGGGGGACGGGGAAAAAAGAGAACAAACGAACCAACACACATAGTCGGCCGTCGCCGTTGGATCTTGTCGAGGAGCAGGGGGTAGATATAGGAGGGAATTCCTTAAAAAAGGTCGCAATTCTCTACGAGCCACCGAAAAAGTTCAGTGGACTTCAACGTCACTGCTTCAACTTTTTTTTTCTCTCTACGCCACTGCCGTCAGATTAGACTCTAACGGTGTCAAACTGCACGTATAAAAAGTCAAAAATACCCTTAAGTCTAAATATGTCATTAATTTTTTTAGTATCTTAACGGCTTCAAATGGAAAAACTCAAAACTAGAAAGTTATAGATCTCGTCGAGATATATAATTTTCATATAAAAATTATCTTATTTTAATATCGCAAAAAAGATATGATTTTTCTAAGATATATTAATCATATCAAATCATATCTTTTTTGCGGAATTAAATGAAGATATTTTTTATATGAAAATTATAGATCTCGACGAGATCTACAACTTTCTAGTTTTGAGTTTTTTTCATTTGAAGTCATTAAGATGCTAAAAAAATTAATGACATATTTAGACCTAAGGGTATTTTTGACTTTTCACACCTACAGTTTGACACCGTTAGAGTCCAATCTGATGACAGTGGTATAGAGGGCAAAAAAAAATTTAGAGCAGTGGCGCTGAAGTCCGCCAAACTTTTTCAGTGGCTCACAAGGAATTCTCCCTAGATATAGCGGTAATGCTCTCCTCATGCTGTCCGTGCGTCCGGACCCCCACACTTTCCGGTCCGCGCCGCTTGCTTCCTCTCGTTGCACGCCCCACTTGTGATGCTCGATCCTGTCCGTACCCACGATGCTCACGCCCCGCGCGGACGCCTGATCCCCTTCCTCTGTAGCCTTTCTCCAGGGCGCCGCACGGCAAGCACAACACCCGCCCGCACGTCCGTAGCCTTCTCCAGCGAGGGATCCCTCGCCACGGCCCTTGCACCCCGCCCACCCGCTGCACCCCCACTCTACGTCGACATCGAGCTTTGCCTATCGACGAGCCTCCATTCGTTCAAGTAACAAGATGACATTACGCTGAAAACGAATCTTATGAGCGTACGTGTCAAGTGTTCTAGATGTATCAGAGGTACGTTGCAAGTATTTTATAACGATGTTGCAAAAGTAGATCGGTATGTTGCACATATTACAATGGCTATACATGTATGTTTCAAGTGTATGTTCCAAATGTTTCATCTGGTTCAGACATATGTTGCAAGTGTTTCATTTGGATGTTGCAAAAGTAGATCTGAATATTGCATAGTATTTCAGGTGTTTTCATACTATGTTGCAAGTGTTTTATCTGAATATTTTGCAGAGACTACACACATGTTTTCAAGTTTTTTGGTGGTTTGCAAGTGTTTCAGATGTATGTTGCAAGTGTTTTAGCTGTTTTGGATGTATGTTTCATCAATATGTTGCAAAAGTAGATCGAGTATTGCACATGTTGCAATGGGACTCAAGTGGGTTCGTGCAAAATAGAGCAAGTGTGATGGTAGGGCGGTACACAGTGTGGAGTCTACGCGCAGGGGCACGTGAAAACAAGCAGTATATGCTTCTTTCACGTGCGGCACAACCTCCCGCGTGAAGGACCGGAGACATCCGATATTTTGGAGCGGCTCTGGACGTTTGCGCTAGTAACGCCCTAGATATAGAGACGGAAGTCAAAATTTTCACATGAAAAGATTAGCTCAACTTAATTCAAAAATTTCTTAGGAAGTAAGAGCAAAACCATAAAGAAAGAAGCCTTGACATGTACAATAGTTTTCTAAACTATATAACTATATATAATAGTTTTCTGCCCGTTTGGTGTGGCTCTAGCACCAGAGCTGGAGAAATCTCATCAATTGAGCACGTGCGGAGTAGCGCTTTCTACCCTCCAATGTGCAGAGCCAGAGCTATTTTGATGTCCGGAGCTAGAGCGTCAAAAACTGGCTCCATCAAAAGAGCTTCAACTCCGCCGCAACATGCGCGAAGGAGTGCTGCCAAACGCATCCTAAAACTCTCCACTTCTAGGAAAGTTTTTTTTCCTGCTGTTTTTATAAATAGCCGCAGGACACTTCTTCTTTTCCATTGAAATTTTTCTTAGGAGTCTTTCCCTACCGTAGGGGACACTTTTTTACTGTTTTTTAGTCTTTTTCTAGGATTTTATTTAAACCCTAGGAAAACCATGGAATTTCAGTAATGAAATACTGTTGGGTCAAATTCGCTCTCAATTAGTCGGCCTGGCCCCCCTGTTGCCTAAATACTGGATACGTAGGGTAGGGCCAATGTGGGATAGGCTGGATAGAAATTTTATGAGATGAATCTATCCATTAACCATAAATTAATTCTCAGTTGGAAGCTGTTACATCCCTTCTGATACAACATATGTTGATAGAGAATTTACTTGAACTTATAGATAGAAACATTTTTAAAAAATATATACATTTAAATTTAAAGAAATTTAACTTAGAACAAACCTAAAAACAAACTAACCTATTTAAACGGAGTACCAACCAAAACTCATAAAATAGAATAGGACACGGCCACAGCCATGAAAGAAGGTCAAAGTTATAGAAGTTGCGTGTGCTTGGCTCTTAATTATCAGATGGTGATTAGCAAAAAAGTAATAATAATTAAGTAGAAGAACCCCAACCCACCCGCAACGCTACCTGCAACGCGCGCCGCCGCCACTCTCACGGCCTCACCCACCACCCCTCCCTCGGCACGGTGTGCTTCTCCGTCATCCATTCCACGCGCCTCCTACTCCCCTAGTCCTACTACTAGTACTACTTAATCACCACCTCGCCCGGCCTCAAGTCCTTAACCTGCGTCGCGCCCACCTTTAACCAATCGCGTTCGCTAGCCAGAGTGACCTGCCGAGCGCAGCGCATAGCTATCTGAGTACCCGTCTACACAACCCGACCCTGTTCCTTCAGCCTTCGGCTAGCGTCTAGCGAGCAGCAGAGAAGATGGAGTCGCCGTCGTCGCTGAGCGCGCTGCGGCACAGGCTGAGGGCCACCGTGTGCTGCTGCTTCGGCCAGGGCGGCGGCGGCGGCCTGGGCGAGCGGATGTGGTGGCGCCGCCGCACGGGCGTCGGGGAGTTCCGGTACGACCCGCTCAGCTACGCGCTCAACTTCGACGAGGGCGACCTCGACGAGGAGGAGGAGGAGGAGGAACAGGGAGTCCACGCCGGCCGCGGAGGCGACGGCCTGCTCTACCACAGCTTCTCGTCGCGGCTGTCGACGCCGGCCGCGGTCGTCGAGGTCGCGTAGCCGTGTTGCGGTAGCGCCCTGGGATCGATCCAGCTCGCTCGCTCGCTCGCTCGCTGCCAAGATGGGACTGGAAGATCCGATGAGGAGGCCATGGATACGTGTGTTTGTTTGCTGCGATTAGTTTGCGTGCAGTCCGGATGCTTTGCGTTCGTCGATCAGTTTTGGTTGTACATGTCTTGCAGAATTCAGACTAGTAGCATATGCGCAGATCAGATCGATGAAGGATCAATATCATTGTGTTAGTGATCTGATCCATGTAAAAAATTTAGCATACGTGCTTGATTACTGATTGTTATACTATCGGGTTTGGAAGGTTTACTTTTTTCGCTGCAAAGAGTTTGACCGCCCTTATTTCAGTGAATTTATTTACTCTGTGAGCTCCAAATAGTAGATCGTTTTATTTTTGTTCAATTTTGTTCTAAGTGCAGATTCTTCAACATTTTAGTGAAATTAGTGAAAGTAATTCGACGCTGTAGACAGGTGTATTTTCTGAGAAAATTGTAATTATAGGACGCGAAACAATGTGTTTCGTTATAAACATCGACTTCGCTAAAACGATCCTCAAAACGTTGGTACTTTGTTATACATGACATTTGATCTTTTTAATCACTTTTCTCAACTAAAATACATATATTTTGCTATGATGTGACCGTATTGCCCTCAGGCTACGAACAGCGCCTTCCAAAAAAACTCCTTGCATGCTACAGAGCGCATCGGCAATGTACACATCAGTATTGTGTACTACGTAGAGAACAACTGACATGAGCACCAATGTTTCAGGGCGTCTCACACCAATGAGTTACGTACCTTGGGGTGAGCCGCAGAGCGAGGGCTTCATGGCGTCGAACCACCCCAGCTCGTCGCTGAGGGAGATGTTGTTCGGAGGAGGCTTGGCGCCGCCAGCGGCGGCCTGCGGGTAGAACGCCGCTGGGCTCGTGCTCGTCTTCAGCGCCGTGGCGCCAGCCACCGCGAAGTTTGCGCCTTGCTTGATGCTTTGTGTCGGATACCATGAGAAGGGGTACCCTAAGCAAGATCCAAAAAACGACTGCTTAGATTTCGTAAAGATCGAAACCAGCTAAACGCTGCTGGCCTCGGCCGATTCTCCGACTCGCCCGAGGCCCCATCACCGCGGGCCTCGGCCGATTCTCCGACTCGCCCGAGGCCCCATCACCGCGGGCCTCGGCCGATTCTCCGACTCGCCCGAGGCCTCATCACCGCGGACCTCAGCCGATTCTCCGATTCGCCCGAGGCCCCCTCACCGCGGGCCTCGGTCGATTCCCCGCCAAAGGCCTCGGCCGAGGCCACCGACCCTCCGTCTCGCGCAAGGCGGGCTCGGCAGCACTCCGCTACCTCTTCCTTCTCCCGTCCCTCTGGCAAAACGTCAGTGTCGCATCAACTCGACCAATAGCCTGCTGCCCGACGACCGCCAGATGCCCGCAGACAAGATGCTGTAGAATGGCCGATGGGATGGGGAGGCGGGGGCTGGGCGGGGTTACCCGCCATGCATTAAACCACCGTGCACATGGGTTGACGCCCATGCCTCACTATCTTTGCCAACTCGCACCGAGGACAATGCAGCGTGGGGAGCCACATCTGGGCCTCTTGTGGCCTCGGAATCGATACTGGGAGCAATAATTCCCTCCAAGGCCTCGGCGGCTTGCTCCGA